TCTTGGCAAAACTTTTTGCCCCAGAAAGAAATGTTTTCCGGAGTGATGTTGGAAATAGCATGGCTCTTTGTGAGAAAACCCTGTAAAGGAAAACCAGTTGCGGTAAAAAGCAGCACTTCCACCCCGGCTGAAAACCAGGATGTCTGACCGCCTTATATATTTGACACATCATCAGAGGTCACTTCTGATGGTTTGGTGGATCTAAGCTCAACTGTGCACTTCCCCCTTTACAGCTCGCAGGCAAACATTCCACAGGTATTAATGCATTTCCTCCCCCAAGATATGCAGTGACACAAACACGGACTAACTGAGTAGGGATGAGAGGCTTTCACCAATGTGGGGTGAAATACCGATGGAGTTTATTAAATGTTTCCTCCTCTGTGGTTGGGTCACAAAACCCTAGGCGGAAATGTGGGAAATGCAGGACAGGCACAGGCAACTTTAGGAGTGAAAAAAAGGGGGAAAAGAAGAGCTTTTCATTCGGTCAAGTGATCGTGTCTGCTCTTCGGAGATAAGTCTTCTTGCAAATTAGTCACTGACCACATGCACGCTTTCTACGGACACACCTCCCCCAAAGGGGGGAAGACAAAAAATCCTTACAAAATCTCAACAAACCGTCACTTGTCTTAATCTAAACAGGATGTGAACTTCTGCACAGTACTTCATGGAAGTTAAAGGGATGTCTTGAGGGACTTCTCTTCCTGGCCCCGAGTTTTTATTCGTCCATACACTAATTTCACACCTTCTCAAAAGCAGCAAGCATTGATCACACTAAAGTTGGACTTACCAGCAGTGCATTTTGTTGTATTAGGACTATGCTCTTTCTTGACATGCTACCATTCTGAACTGACAAACTTATATTTTCTATTGAGAGACATTACAATAATCTTGTGTGCCACAGGGTACTTGTGTGAACCAATTTCTCAGGAAAGCCTGGTCAGCGTACCCAGACAGCTTTTCTGAGTGGGGGCCTAGGCTTGCATCATTGTGCCCCTGGTTATTACAACTCTATCCGCACTGAGCAGGAACAAGAGAGGACGTGTTTTTACACAGCACCGTACAGTCCTATGGTAAGAACTTGTGCGTCAGGGTTCACACATGCTTGGCACAGGACAGGCTGTGCATACACGACCAATTTCTGTTTGAAGGCACAGTCTTCATGTGTGCATTGGGCGCATGAACGAGGCCCAAATGAAAAACTTCCCACCAACCTGTCTCTTCTTTGCCGATGAGACTGTCACATGTAACGGCTACATTTCACAAGACACAAAAACTACGGGGGAGCCAGTTAACAAATGTGTCCTTAACAGCTATGTTACATGTTCTTGCCATAACTATGTTCCAAAGCATGCTTAACATGCAAATCAGCATGCAAGATATGACTGGGATGAAAAGAGATTTTTAAAAATAAATGTTCATTTTCACACAAAAAATGAAAATATTTCTTCTGTTCATTTTAAACTGCAAACAAAAATAAATGGATTAAAAGTACTAAATATTAAACACTTGAAGAAGGTTTGGCAGATGGAAAATAACACACACACACACAAAACCCCAACATGTCAAAAAAGAAACAGCTTGCAGGGAGACAGAAAAATCCCTGATGCGACATTTTGTAAATATAAGGGAATCAAGAAACTGCGATATGACCCATGAAACTGTTCATATGATGAAAGTGTTACATTTGTATCAAAAAACCTTTTAATGTGGGGTCACTCCACAGAAGCCACATCGAAATTAATCTGTCTCACCTGGTTAAGTTTAAAGTGTAATTTATTGAAAAAAAAAATCAAAACCGTTTGACAAGAGCTCATCATCGGTCTGAGCTTTCATGTAAGTATATGCATGACCTAAATGTACATGACCTAAACGTCGATGATGAACACATCTCCCACTTGATATATGCCGACAATATCATCTTAGTTGCAAAAACACCACTGCTGCAGAGGAATTAGAGAGCATGCTAAATGACATCCAAAAAGCCAGTAAACTAGTGGGTCTCAACATGAATCTCGGAAAAACCCAAGTGATGTTCGATGACCACATAAACTGGTCAACAGTAACTGCTGATGGTAAAATTATAGAAAATGTTGACAGCTACATGTACCTAGGGAAGACTAATGCCAGAGATCAACAAGAGAATTGGCCTTGGATGAGGCAGCCTTTGGCAAAGTAAAAAAAATCCTGAGAAGCAGCAAAGCCACATGAATATCAAATGGGAGGTAGTCAGTGAATACATTCTGCGAGTAATGACATATGGCACTGAAACATGAGCACTGAATAACACAATGATGGAGAAACTTGCAATTGCACGGCACAAAATGGAGTGCATAATGTGCAGTATCACCCTTAAAGACCAAAAGTGAAACACTTGGATTTGCCAGCAAACTGAGGTCAGAGACATCACTGACCAAATCAACAAAGCCAAGTGCAGATGGGCAGGACATGTTGCAAGATTAAATGACAACAGATGGACCATCCGGGCACAGAGTGGACCCCGAGGGAATGGACCAGGAAACCAGGCTGCCCAAAGACAAGATGGAGAGATGACCTTAACAGACACCATGCATGGTCCCACTTGGCCAAGGCTAACAAAAGACAGGCACCTGTGACAGCATTCCAGGGAGGGGGCTCCTAATAATCTCAGAATGATACACCCTGGATATGGATATGGAAATGTGCATATGAATATATTGCCATGTCCGAAGAGAATTCATGGGTCATGTCAAATATGCTCTGAACAGCACCTCGGAGGAATAATAAAGGTGGATGTCATTATGTCCAAGTAAATTTCCCCGTGAATGGCCTGGATGTGATTTCCCTACTAAAATGGGAAGGTGTTAAGGGTGGATGTGATGTTGAAACTAGGATGTGATTTTGGCAGGGATTATCAAAAAATCACATCCAAGTCAGAAATCAAATCCCAATTGTTGTTAAAGTCTAACTCACAATGTGATTTTGGACTTTCCTGGTGTGATTTCTGGCTCAGATGTGATTTTGGTGGTGTGGATGTGATATTAGATAATCCTTACCACAATCACATCCAGGCAAGTCTCCCTTCCATATTGTTGGAAAATCAAATCCAGGCCCTTCACAGTGATTTTGAGCATCAGCCAAGACCCCAAACTGCATCTGTTGCTTTATATTCCCACATCTAAATCCAGTGTGAAAGAAGGGCCTTCAAAGGCGGGAAAAATGTTGGAATTCTTTTAATGGAATCCAAGCCATTTGGTGCCAGAACAGATTTCGCTCAAATTTGGCTGCTGGTTTGACAGCTGGTAGACACACAGCAGGCATTAGCTTGGCAGGTAAACACGACACAAACAGAGCCCCCCAAAAGGGTCATGATCTCTTATCCCCAGTTCAGTCACAGCCACCAATCAGCCAAAATTTATGGAAGCAATCATGCTTTTTCTTTCATTGTCCAAAACTAATGAAGTCATCATGGACTGTTGACTCAACACACACTGAGTGTTTTCTTTAGTCATTTTTACTTCCAAAGGAGCAAATTCCCCAAATAAGTCAAAGACTTAGGGCCAATTGGGGTCACTGGAACAACTCATCTAAGGGCCACTTTGGCATTTATACTTGGTGAGAAGTCGTTTATACTACAAAGTTTGATTCTGAAGAGATTTTTCATCTTTTTGTACATGATAAAGCCTGCATAAAATGGGCCACATTAATTTGCATCATTTGAAAATTGACCAAGGCACTTTAAGATTTTTGAACAAGTGACGTATGAGATACTGATCTGATGAACAGGGACTGTTCTTATGGGCACAATTGTAACAGAGTCACTTCTTGGGTTAACTTTGAATCCTGCGAGTCAAAAACCTTGAGTGGATAGAAAATGCCCCAAAGTAATTAGTCATCAGGAAACTGGAACCTTCTTTTACTTCTGAATTATAACCAAAATAAAAACAAAAAAAATACAAAAAAAAAAGCTAACTAATGTGCAAAAAAATACTTACTGCTGGGTAACCTCCATTTTTGGTTGGCTTCAATCACTCAAAAAAATAAAAATAAATAAATGCACAACATTTGTCATTTATTAAAAAAATAATAAAAATTAAGAAAAATTGATTTAGAGAATACACATACTTGCAAGTTTAAAACTTAATCAAGCTATGCAATTTTGTATTGTGCTTTTCAAAGCAGAAGGGAATTAAATGCGCAATTCAGGGGAAAAAATGCATGGCATATTTTCAGGAATAATCTCTAGGAATTTGTCACTTGCAGATGCATATCCCAACCCCCAAAAAGATTTGCCCCTTCCTCCTCCTGCGACCATACACTGGCACAGACATCCAGGATCTTCTGAATTAGTCCATCTACATCTTGTCCCCCCCCCATTGCTATCTTCTTGAAGATGAATGGTTTTTGTGTATGGAGAGAAGGATACCAAGTCTACAGAGACAGGGCTTTGTTTAGCTAAGCAACAAGTTCCCAGGGCTGACACCCTGCATGTCTGTGCTTCTGACATGGAGTAATCATGAGTAATTTCTGTGGATTGAGTATTTGAATGAGTATCAGTGTCAATCACTTTCGGCTGTTGCCCAGCCTCTCCATGCATGATGTTCCCAAACATAATTTCCATCACATGACAGCAAATGGAAACAAAGTTTTATTGCATTTTTTGCCCTTTTTTTGCACTTTGCAGCAAACTATATGACAAATACCATGCTAATCTAAAGTGATAAAGAAAACAGTTCCACTAAAAGCACACCCTCTTGCAGATTTTTTTCCCAAGCATGTTTCCTTTGGATAATTGAATGGGCCTGCAATTGTTCACTTTAAATGCAGGCAGCTGGAGTGGGCTTTTTTTGGACATGCATGATTGCCTACAAGAAGAGGAAAAAGCCCTGGTTTTTAATCAAAAGGCTTTTGAATAAATCAGGGACGACTCCCCTGGCCATCTACAGAATGCTCATTATGTCAATTACAGCACAAATATTGCAGTGTGTGAAGCTCTGTATTACGATTGTGCAGCATAATGGTCAAAGTTCACGTGCACACATAAATAGCTTCTATCATCACAATCACATTGGCATACTGTACTATCTATTGATAATGCACAGCACATGACTGCAGGTTAGTACGCTAGATAAATTGATGGTGTAGGCCCACCGTGTGTATCAGTGACAGTTGTAGTGGTTATTTTTTTGGCCTTAGCCATGTGTTGGCTCCAACTCTAAATCTGCCTGTGGTATGCATGGCACATTCAAAGAAAAAGTGGATAGACAAGACCTAACCATGGCCGGTGAGCATACAGAGCAAGTTCGGATCCTTATTTGGTGCACAGCACGTTCACTGTCAACAGTTCTGGCACGTTCCCTGTCGCAGTACCCTGCATCACAGTGTCTGCTGGAACTCTTTGGGGCTGCTGCCAACTTTGGTCCTGATCGCCGCTTCCCAGAGACGGAGCTCCTCCAGCCCAGACTGTCTTTCAAGTTTGTAAAAGAGCTGTATGAGCAGCCGTGGGCTGGGAAATCCCTCGTGCTCGGCAAAGAGTTGTCGTACGTCATGATAGGGAAGCAGGACATGATACCAGAGGGTTACCAACACGTCTTCTTGATCCGAAATCCACAGAAATCTGTAAAGTCATTGGAAGACCGCATGAGCAAGGTTGCCTACAAGAAGAAGAAAGAGTTCTATCTAGGGCTTAACCAGTTCAAAAACCTTTCAGAAATGCATCAGCATGTGACCAAAACTCTTGGGAAGAAAGCATTAGTGTTGGATGCCGATGACCTGAAGTCTAATCCTTCGGAAATGCTTCAATGTCTCTGTACAGCAGTTGGTCTCCAATTCACAGATAAGCTGCTAGAGTGGGACAAGGTCAGTGGGGTACCGGGAAACTGGATGGTGAATGAGAAACAGTGGGAGGACCATGAACGAGTGGGATGGTTTGACAGACTGTTGGAGAGTACTGGATTCAACCCACTTGAGACAGACCCACGTGTGTGTCCATCAGAGGGACAGCCATCGCCCCATTTCAAACAGATGATAGCAGAGGCTCTGCCCTATTACCAGGAACTCTATCAACTTCGCATCAAACCTCAACAGTCATAGTGCACTGGCCTCTGTTCATATCTAACAGAGGCATCATACGACAAATTCGAGTGCCAAGAAATGGCGAATGCACCTTTATATTCAACATGCACCAAGCCCTTCACTTGAATTTTACATTTGTTATTACGGTTGCGGGGAATACATGTGAACACTAGGGAAAATGTGTAGAAGTTTGTATAAAGATGTATATAAAGACTGGTCAATTTGGGAATAGGCCCCCCCAATGACACGCATGAGTGCTTGCGTAAATAAAAAAGTGATTATGAAAGTTCTTTTTCCTTTGTATTTCTGAAGCCTATTTAATAGGCTAATCTGGCAATACGACTCAGAGGCTTTTTACTGCAGTGACATCAGGTTCATGTAAAGGAGGTGCTTGTGCATTAAATACCTTTTTGACCAATAGGGTGCTGTGATTCATAAAATGTATGCACAAGGCTAAGAGCGTGTGCATGATGAACAGGGTGCCATTCTCACTGGTCTATTTGATTTATGTTATTTTTATTTTTTTAGTTTTATCACACGTTTATCTTCCTGATTATAGATTTCAACATTTATTTTAGGAATCAAAATTTGATTTGGTGTCATAATTCTCTATTTTTAATCAAGTGCCATGTTGAGTATCTTAAATTCCTTTTCAGATGAATGCTTTCATTTGTTTCAAAGTTGTGTTCAAAGTTGCAAAGTTTGTACTTGTTTATCATGTACAACTGGGCCTACTAATCATGAAACTTAATTCTTTTCAGATAAACCAATGACAATAATTCTAATAACCCCGGGACACTGTCAAGGTCAAGTCTAACATGCTGTCCAGACTTTGTGTGTGCATGAAACAAACATATACAGTTTCCTGCCAAAAGCAATTTGGGATGTGCATGGTAGTTTAAGCATCAACTTTACCTGTGTATATGGATGGCCAAATCCGTGATAACATGTCCTCTGCTGCAAAGTGGTTTATTCCTTCTACACTGCTTTGTGATTTGGTGGACTATTAAAGAAAAGGAACTATGCCTGTAGTGTGAACTTCAATTGTCTTTGCTTTGGATAGGATGTTTTTAATTCTTACAATGCGTCATATATTTCAGACATCATTATTTCTGAGAATTTCTTCTTCAGTTATTAGTGCTGCTGTTTTTTGCTAAGCTAAGTTTTGCTACGTTCCGCTTTTATTTTTTGTTTTTTCAAGCAAAGACGTTTGATACATTTTTGGGTTTACAGAGTCTGCAAGTATCATTTAGATCTGACTGCTGGTGTTACCATATCAAATGAGTATAAAATGGAAGATTTGCTTGAATATATAAATCACCTACGGACGTATATAAAAACCTGGACTTGCAACGCCTTTGTATGAAGAAGACGCCAACCAGTGGCCATTTTACCGAGCGGAATACAAATGCATGGGTTGGCTCCCTTCTATTGACGTCAGGAAGAACAAAAGCGGGCATTGCCAGGAAAGCTTTGTATTCGGCTCGGTCAAATGGTCACGAGTGGATTCAATGATCTCTCTGAGCTGATTAAGGGCATTGCGAGTCCAGATTTTATTATACACATCCGTGAAATCACCTCCTACATATGCCTAAAAATAGTCCACACAATTTGTATTGCTGCCCCTGTGCAGAGTCAAGAGTTCTTTTTAAAAGCTGTTCTAAATACAGTTCAGGATTTTCTTTTTCAACAAAAAGACCCCATTTGGGGCCTGAAAGGTCAGATCTATTCATAAAAGCACACCCTTATTAAGATTGGGTTGACAGGATATTCCACAAGCTATTCATTTATCCAGAGGGCAGGTATTTCAGAACACATTCCAAAGAACAAAATATATAGGTGAAGTGACCCTTGGCCTTTGAAAGTCACACCAACAAACAAATTCAAGCTAATTGGCCTCTCCGACATTTTTGTTTTATTTGCTTGTATCGCAGGAACTTTCCTACTTTTTCTTGGACTTTTATTCAGCCAAATCTGAGCACCTCATTTCGCAAATTGTGTAAGGAAGACGGCTTGTTTATGTTGTACTATATATAAATCGTGCAGCAAGAGTAATAACTGACTGTTCTTGAACATAGGAATATCTACCCAAACAGTTGTTTCTTTAGCAAATTTCCTTTCATACCCGGCACTTTTTGCCATTCGCTAAAAACTTGATCAACAGTAGTGCGTCCTTTAGTGCTACAATGCAGTATGGCGCCACTGCCATGCTCATCCTTTTTTGGAAGTCTGTGCCAGAGTGGGAAGGACCAGTGGGTGCCAACTGTTTGGGTAGGTATTACCTAGCAGATCCCCCCCCCCATAATGTGGGAATAAGTCCACTGCACTCATCCTACCCAAACAGTCACTGCTTTAGTACAGTAGCACCATATCCTGGAGGAACGTTGGCGAGGACGCACTGATTGAGAGCAAAATGTGATTAGTGTCTCGTATGTCTTGAAGAGGATGAAGGGGGAGTGTTGAGAATGCATCAGCACAGGGGGAGCTCTAAGGTAGATCTGGAGGGGTCCATTCCGGTGAAGGTCCTCCTGGTCTCAGGGCAGAGGAGGGGCAGGACTGTCTTGCCATGGGAGCAGTCTCGTTGCAAGACATCACCCAGGCACCCTGAGGTGAATGTTGAGGGTGTCTTCCAGTATGCCACTGTGCAGATCCTCCATTGGGACACCACAGAAGAATGCCTTTGAGGTGGCTACCACCCTGATGTCATGAGCTCCGATAAGGCGGTGGGTTTCATCATCTAAGGATGTTGGCCATTCGGTGTTAAAATTAATGGCCGAGACAGTCCATCTAGCTACTGCGTCTCTGCTTGCTGGCTGATGAGGTTTTACCAAGGTAATGAAGAGCTGAGATGTTAACCTCTCAGTTTCCGAGTCCTGGCCAAGCACAATTCTAATTTGATCTTGTATTCTGTACTGAAGGAGGAAAGTCCTAATTGAGCATGTTGTTTTTTTCTATTTGCACATATCTTACAATTGTTTTGAGTGGGAAAACAGTTTTGAAAAAAATATATTCAAATCAAAGTTGCTCATGGATGGAGACAGACAGGAGATTGATTACTTGCACTAACATATTTTATACACAGAAATTCTATGGCCTATGCAGCACGGTCATAGCGAGCTCTTCGATGTCTTAGTGTGCACGATACATGTACATGTGTGTAGATGTCCAAAATCCAACTGAACCGAACCTTGACACCTACTTGCAGCACTATTTGATACGGAAGTTAGATTTTTTTATTACCTTCAAAGAATATTGGTACACTCCCATATAAACTTCTTTATTTCCCAGTCTAAAAACACTTCAAGTTGTGGTCTTCAGCAAGGGAGCCCAAGGACTTAGACAATGTCATGCTGGAGCAGATGGAGGTGAGACTCAGGGGGGAATAGGCTGCCCACTGAGAGGGGTTCCTCCTCGTCGGACAACGGATCCACAGAGTCGGATGCATGCGGATCAGGATCAGCTGGACATGAGGAACTGGTGCTGTGTTGACTCCCAGTGGCTGATGACTGCCATGATGCTGCTGTGATAATACTGGTTGACTCTCCTGCTTGGCCCCAGAGTCTTGCATGTATGTATGGTGTGGAGGGGGTGAGTACGGATTTGGATCCAGGTACGTAGCTGCTGGATGATGCAGAGAGTAGTACTGTATGAGCATGGACAAGGTTTCTGATATGAGGTGGAGTGTAGTCAACACCTTACTTTCTTCCCTGATGAGGTATGGAACCCAGGAGGGTGTCTAGATGCCGGATTGGTTGGAGACATATCTGCAGGGGATTCCCTTGTGCATGAGCGTCGTCAGAGTTCTGGACGAGGACAGTGGGTTGAGCAGCCTGACTAGAATAGGGAAGAAGGCCGAAAGCCCCAGCAGTGAAGCAGTCCAGGGGCCTTGGGTCTGGCTGGAGACTGGGCAGCGGTAGCCATTGCAGGCCCGGTCCTGATCACCATATCTGATGCGGAATCCCAGGTGGGATGGGAGCAGGAAGATGCCACTGACCACTTGGCCGTAGAGTACTGGCCATTGTGAGTGGGAGGTGGGCTGTATTTTACTTGGGGCAGTGCTGTGAGACCACCCTGTTTGGTCAACAGTCACAGAGCAGTGAATGGGCCCAGGGCAGGAGGTGGATAGACGCTGCTGCCCTACGGGCATGGTGAGCCAACCAGGGGTGGTAGCTTTGCCCGTGACAATACCGTATTACCGCTTGCCGTGGGCAGTGGTACAGTGCTTAAGTGCTATAGCCGTAGGGCACCACAGCGTGTCGCTTGGTCTTGTTCTCGGTACTGAGTAGCGACTCATTGTACTCCAGTAGGCCTGTGAAGAAGTGTAAATAACCAGCAAGTTCAAGCTCGGCAATGGCCCATGCATTGCCAGAAAGGGCGGTTTAGGAGTTCAGGGACTATGTGTACAACTGATGAGCCCATCATGCCGGCCTGGAGTGTGAAGAGTGGGGCCACTGGGTTGTATGTGCCTCTTGATGGTGTTGATAGTGGCCTTACCAAGTCTGTCTGGTAAGCTGGTGAGGGCACGGTGAGCCAGCCTGACTCACTTCAGCCTGATGCTCACACTATGTGTACTACTGAGCCCACTGCCCCAAACTGAAGCATGAAGAGTTTGGGCCACTAGGTGGGGCCTCTTGACTGTGTCAGTGGTGGCTCTGCCTGCACCAGCAAGCCGGAGAGAGTGTGAACTGGCCTACTTGCTTCAGCCTGATGCCTACACTCTGGGCAAACTGAAAACTACAAAGGAGGTAGATGTAAATTAGGGTATCGCTAAATGTAGGTCGCACCCCCTACCGACAGTAACGAAAAGGGGGATAGAAAGCCGAAGTACTATCCTATTCCCAGTGTTGGTTAGGATATGAAACCGCTGCACCACAGTGTTCCTACAAACACTAGCAATCCCTTGCTCAACATGGACGTACCCATAACCAAAGACCTGGTGCCCACTGTGTAACGAGCGCAATACTAGGAGGGGGATGGATGTTCTAGAATAGGTCTCCCAGTCTGGAACATATGATGTAACATGATATACATACAGAGGGAGATACAAAAGAAAAACACTGACACGTGCACAGCAATGACTAAATGCTTTGACGGGTGACAAGAAAAGGACATTCTGTCACGATCTTTATTCTGTCATAAAAAAGTGCACAAAAGGCACACCTATGAATGCAGTACATAAACCAATGCATATAGAGGTGACACGGAAGAAAAGATTTATCGCCATCTTTATTATGGTCACGAAATGAAAACAATAAACACCAATACGTTCACAATCATAACAAAAAGCATTGAAAAGGTGGCAGGAAGGAACAATCAATCACAAACTTAATTGTAGTCAAGAATAAAAATGCAAGATATACACCTTTAAATGCCGTATGATAACAAATGCATAGAAAGGCAATTAAACACAGAGGAAACACTCTCATCACAAGCTTAATTACAATTATAAAAAAGAGACATGATACACCTAGAGAAGCGCAACATGAAAACACAGTGAACACAGAACAAAGTGTAGCAAACGAAAAAAATCTCAAAAATTCTGAGTTGGACAATACATGTCCGTTCTTAATAGTATTAAGAAAAGACCATCGTCACGGGCGCTGCAGTGGTGGTGCCATGGCTGCTCTCAATGCTTCCTTGGTGCCACACAGACTCGACCATCTTGAACATTAAGACATGGAGTTGATGTGGATATCTGTCAACCTTTCGTCAGACTCCTGGTTGATTGGCATCCTTTATTGTCCACCATCATCGACTGCTCTGTATTGGCCAAAACTCTGTGATGCACTCATATCTGCCAACATGGAGGACTTCGATGGTTGCCTTATTTTGGGCGACTTTAACTTTGACGTCAACCCTCTCCATCAGTCTAGCCCAAATTGCACGAGACTATTTGAAATCTCCTCAGAATTTTTCCTTGAGCAGCTTATTACATCAGTGACCCATCCCTCTGATAGGGAAATCTGTTGGCTCAACGATCGATCTGGTTTTCAGCGATTGCCCTGACAGAATTGCTTCAGTAAGCACTGCCTCAAGCCCTGTTG